TTCGATCTCTAGGCACAATATCATTATAAAAGACTAAATGTTTTGTGCTGCCCTCGCAGTTAGATCGATATTCAAGAAGGGGGAGGGGGGCTGGTTGACTGATCTGGGTGTACCAGGCATTGGCAAATCTCCTTTATGATTCGTCGGTTGAAGTCCTACGTCCAAGATAGGTCTTCTCCTAGACCGGACAACCATCTCCTTCCTTCAAGCTGTGAAAAATGGCATTTTCTCAAATGAAACTTTTTCAAACATAAACACACAAAAATTTAAGTAAAGGACGAGATACAAGTTTCAGATATCATTGGTTTCTGTTGAACAATGGGAGATTCGCCAAGACATTTAGTGTGAAATAATTCTGTATTGTATGACTAACTGAGTTCGCGAGAAATAAAGAGAGACTGAACACAGATGTACACTCACAATAAATAATCTTTGTGAAAATGTACTTAACTTGTTACAACTGACAGCCATATTCACTGGAGAGTTATGTTTGAAGTTGTCTCTAGCGTATTCTGATGAGGGCATAAGCAAGACTAACTCTGATGAGATCCTGTTGTAGACTAAATAAATCTCTCGTTACTTAATTAACTCGTCAATGTCAAATTTACCCAGAGTGACTAGTGTTACCCACGTGATTCGTCATTCCCATTAAAACATAAAGGAGGTCATAACCTCAAGAATGGAAAATACAACTGTCTAGCTTCACATTCTATGAGTGACCTTGCAACTATCTTTACCAAGGAAAGAAAAAAATGTGCTACTCTAAGCGAATGGCTCAGAACAATAAGTAGCTAGAGCTACAGTTACTTAATGACTTTCTTGACCAACGTGTTGTGTGGAAATAAATTTACAAAAATTCCTATGTCAGTACAAGAAGGTGTAAAACACATGGTGTGCTTATATACCACATGTTTTGTCGGTAGTGTTAAATTGTTAATTCCCTATGAAGAATCAGTGACTTAGAAATCAATTGAATTCAATAGGTTTGGGGGAAATCTACTAACATAATAGAATTTTTAAGCATTGATTAAAATATTGCTAATTTCTAGTAGTGATTTGTACTATGCTCAACGAGGAAAGTTTGTTGCTAATATCAAGACGAGTAACACTAAAAACCCTAGATTAATGTTCTGAAACATTTTTTTAATCAACTTAGCACCATATCATTATTTGTGTTAGGCGTTATGATTAATATTAGAAAAGACTACATATATAATTTCTTGTTACACTAATAGTATGTTCTGTAAGAGGAATAATCACACTGTAGAAATGGCGTTTAGATCCCAAACATGATTCTAAACACATATCTTATCCACTTTTTTAACCTATTTAGAGCCTAAACATGTCTTATTCCTCAAAATATAGAGTGTAAACTCGTTTAATATCTAAAGACATTGAACAAGAAAACATGTTTGAACTCTAAACCAGTTGAATATCTAAATATGTTCAGGATCTCAACATTTTGAATATTTAAACATGTTTAGAAACATATTGAATACCTATAAATATTGAATGCCTGAACATGTTTAGAATCTAAACACGTTGACTATATAAACATATCGAATATTTGAATAGATTTACATTCTAAACAAGTTGAATATCTAAATATTTTGAATGTGTGAACACGTTTAGAATGTGAGCGCTTAATTCGATGTGATCAATTATAGTAAATAGTTTTGTAAAAACATCAGTGTCAATATTATAAAAATAAAATAAAAATTCTTGTAACAAAAGACAAACTTTAAATAACTAGTTTTACCCTACATTTAGGTTGCTATCCTGTTGCCCTCTTCAGGGAAGTGCTGAAAAGGACTATTGTTTGGTAGAGGCCAGTATTCGATCTTGGGTCTTCTTGATCAAAGCCTGGTGCGTTATTCACTTGAAAAAATTTCAAATAAGGAACAACAAACCATAATTTTTGTGGTTCGTTTGTTTATAGTTAAGCACCCGGTTTCTATCATTGTAAGTCCGCAGACATACTGCTGTGCCACTGGGGGGCTAATTTTTGTGGAGTATGTTATAAACTGTACCCATTTAATCTGGAGATATCACTACTTAATAACAACCATTTTGTTTGTTGGAGTGTTGCATCATCGTCAACAGACAGTTTGTTTGTTTTAGAACAAAGCCACATTGGGCTATCTACTGTGTCCACCGTGGGAATCAAACCCCGGAATTTAACTTTGCAAGTTCGTAGACTCAACGCTGTCCCATCGGAGGACTCGGCAGACAGGTAGGTAAACCAACAGCGACAACAGATTACAGTTTTCACCCTGTCCGACCACATTTTAGTTATAATTTTCGTTTAGACATTAAACACCTTACAACTATATGCTTAAAAATGTGTTTAATTTAATAAGTGTTTACATTATAAGCACATATTTTATCGATGCCTGTTACGAATGTTTAAAGTCTTAAACACATTTAACACTTAATATGCTAAATAAGAAATGCGATTAGATTTAAAACACGTTTCTAAACATATAATAATAGTGCTTAATTCCTCAACGTCATTTCTAGAGTGAAGTTGTGAATTAAAGTATGTTAGATCGTTAAGCTTGTTTCAAACATACAAGAGAAACAAGATCGACAGAATTAGTTTTCAACAGTGTTTTTTTTTTTAATAAGCCGCTACTGTTAACATTGCTACCAATAAGGATTTCGTATTCTCTAAAACATGACAATCTTCTATACAGTCACGTGCTTTCTTGACTGTTGCTCTAAAATGATTTATCTGAATAGCACACGCATTATTCCTTATCGTTAAACCACAGTTCTAACAGCATGTAGGTTTGGGATTTAAACTACTTATAACATTAATCGTTATCTCAAGTCAATCATTAAAACGTTTAGAATATAAAAAGGCACCTTAGGATATAAAACACTTTACTTGTACTTCATTATGTTCTTGAATTCGTATTTTCCTTAGATCCATCATCAAAGGTAAAATAATTATATAAAGAGAAACTACCAATATATTAGTAGCTAAACCAAACGATTAAACTTTACAAGAAAGGCAATGCATACATTTCAAAGCTTCTATGAGAACAATAAAATACTCATCTTTTTAGTGTCATTTAAGCTCAATAGATGGCAATACATTACGGCAAACTAACGAACAGGCATCATTTGGGCATATAATAAAAAAACAAAAAACAACCAAAATGTTTTAGTTGTTTTTGAAGAAATTTTAAATTAATGACAACTTTCATATGCCTTTATTTATCTTTCTGTGTGTTCTTACCCTTTTAACATAAATGTAGCCATTTGAGTGTCATTGTTGTTGTTTAATATAATTCGGATTTTTTCAGATTTTGTTTTTGCGAGAAATATAATATGGTAAACAGCCTTGCAAAATGAAAGTGCTTCCCCATGGCTCATCAGTAAGCTTGAGGGCTTAGAAAGCTAAAAATATGGGCCCAATACCCGCAGTGCAGGTAACAAGTACTTTTTAACTGAATAAAGATTTTACACTGTAATAATCTCTCTTTTTTTCTATATATATATATATATGTGTGTGTGTGTGTGTGTGTGTAGTAAATATATATATATATATATATATATATATATATATT